TGTAGGGTATCATAATACCGGCCCCGCCCAACTTTAAGACTTGCTTTACTGTTTTTTTTTTTTTTTTTCAAAAATTAACTGTTACAACACTCTTTAAATTTTAGGACTTGTTTAGGCAATGAAAAAATTTAGTTTTCGTTTCATCCTAACATATTTTCGAATCTTTTTATTTACATTCTATATAGTTTCGGCTTTCTTGTATAAATTATGCAAGTGCCAATTCTTTCTAATTTGCAAATACAGAACATCTCTTCAATACTTCAGAGCGAAAAATTCCCGTCTGTGAATATCAGTTTTGCTTTAGCCACCTACGAAATGCCAGCAAAAAACACAGATACTAGCCATTGTCCAAAATGAGGTTCTAATTTATTTGCACATTATATTTTTTTATTATTTTTTCCAATATTCATGTCTTCCAGCGATACCTATCGATGATATGAAAGTGGGGGTGGTGGGGGACACAGGAACGTAACAACGTCGAACACCCCAATCTACATAATGAGCAATGTTCAAAAGTAAGGCGGCGGCGGGTTATGCTAAAATATTTCAAGATATTCGAAACTAATTAGAAAAGCCACTCATGTATGAAATGAGCGACCAACCGACCGCCTGACTCTCCATAAGAAATTTAAAAAAGCAAAACGTGTCTTCATATCTTCGAAGAAGCTATGAAATAGAAATAAGAATAAAACAGAAAAATTAAGAATAGGAGAAAAATTTCCCTTTGTTAGATTTTTTGTTTTCGATAGTCAAATTCATTTGGTGATGCACGACTGGACTTTGTAGCATAATTAAAGGGAGAAGCTCGAAGATACAGAGAATGTGGGAATATTGAAGTTTTTTTTTTCATACGCCTGAATTATAATGTGTTTATTATTAATTTTTATTTTTTGCCCATTTTATTAATATATCTATTTAATTATGTAAAATTTTCTGAATGGCTTTGTCAAAGTTTTTATGACGACGATCAAAGATATTGTTTTTTTTTTTACATGAAGCTGTAGCGTGAATTGTATTCACGCTTCGTTAGCATGGAATAGCCTTAGGCTATAGGCCAATGGAGAGAATATTGTGAAAAATATTGTTGCTACAACAACCACAATATCCTCGAATGAGAACAAATAGAATATATCGAAATTTTAGAGCTTTTTAGAGAAACTGATGTAGAATGAAAGAGGCCATACCTGTAGTAGGTCCAAGGAATATATTGAAGATAATTCTGGGCAACTCAAGAAATGATTAGAGAGAAAATCTAGCACAATATGAAATTAGAACTAAAAACAAAAAAAGAAGTGTATTGGCGTTTTGAAAGTTTAGATCGCAAAGTAACATAAACTGAGGCGACATGTTCGGCACTCTTGTACATTTTTTTAAAATTCGGATTAAATGTTTTTGGAATCCGTTTATATTAGTTAAATAGTGTCTTGGGAAATATTGCAGATAAAAACATGAGGAATATTATGGCCGAAAGTGTTAACCCCCAAGCGAGTAACCAAAGGGGTCTTTTTGGTCCCTTTTTTTTAAATATGTTTATAATCTCCCCTTAAATGGGATCGTAGAAAGTCAAAATATTCTACAATTTTTTTTTTTAATTTTACCTAAATACCTAAATGCTATATTAGCTATATCTGAACCGATTTCGATCAAATTTGGCATACTTATTTTCATACCTGATTTGGTTGTATGTTACAGGTTTGGTGCACAATAAAAGGCAAATCGGACGAAGATATATATGGGAGGTATATCTAAATTTTTATCGATTATCTACAATTTTTAGAAAGGTTCGTACTTGGGCCAAACAAATAATTTGTTCAAAATTTCATCCGGATCGGGCAATAAATGCGCACTGTATTTTGTTTACAAAAATACAGATGGACGGACATGCATAAATCGACTCAGACTGTGATTCTATGCAGATCATCAAAAGGAACTATGGGTCTATTTCGTTTCTTTTTGCTGTTACAATCAAATACACAAAGACATAATACCCTGACCACCTTGTGGTATAGGGTATAAACAAACTACTATAAAATTTATAACAGTGACCTCAATACCAAATTTCAGAATTTCAGCTCTATCCCTTCACCCAATACCAATTTAGTAACATTTAGTACTGTTCGTAGAATTTTAGTATACATTTCCAATACCACCTCCATTTCTAAAACCAACAGAGACCTCAATATAAATATTGAGAATTCCAGCTCTATCCCTTCACATAATACCAAATTTAGTACCACTTAGTACTTTTTGAACAATTAAAGTACACATTTCGCAACAATTTCCATTACTTAACTTCAGACACCAACAGTGACCTTAACATCAAATTTCAGGATTTCAATTCTACCCCATCACCCAGCACCCAATTTAGTACAATTTAGAACTTTTCGTACAATTTAGTATGCATTTGCAAGACCACTTGCATATCTCTCAAGAGATCTCATTATTAATTTTTTGGAATTCTAAACTTATCCTTTCATCCAATGCCCAAACCTCCCCCAAATCTAAATCCCAGAACCGAACAGTAACCTCAATGTCCAGTTTCAGGATTTTAGCTCTATCCTTTCACCCAATATCAAATTTAGTACCACTAAGTACTATACGCACAACTATGGCACACATTCCCAAAACCACATTCGTATCTTAATTCCAGTTACCAATAGTGACCTTTATATCAAATTACAAAATTTAGCTCTAACTCCTTACCCAATACCAAATTTGGTACCATTTAGTACTTTTCGTAGAAATATAGGACACATTTCCAAACCACCACCAAATCTCAAACACGTCTAATCTAAATATCAAACTTCAGAATTTTCAAATATTCGGAAATTTCAAAATCAAGCTCTATCCCTTCACCCAATACTAAATAGTATAGCAATTATAGTACACATTTCCCAAACCACTTCCACAAGTGTCCAGTATACATATGACAGGGACCCCAATACCAAATTTCAGATTAAAAGAACTATCTGTTCACCCAATACCAAATTGTACCAAATACAGTACTATTTGGTCAACATCATATGGTACCATCAAGTGGAATATCCAAAAACTCCTTGGTACATCCTCTATCCTCTACTCCACCAGTGACTCTCATTTCAAATCTGGTGGTGAAGATGATATATATCTGCGAACCCCTTCTGCTACCTAACCCACAGAAAGTCAAAATTTGTAATAATTGTATCTGTCTTAACTTGCGATACAAGTCAGCGATTCTTTACAATTTGCTATATCTAAATATTTCTCTTAACCAGAAACCTGAGATGAATATGGAATTTATGAATTCACATAAAATTGGATATAAATGTTCGAATGTCTTGTAATTTTTCCTATACCAATCATTTTATGTGTATTAGATGAAGTGTGAGAATAGAATACTTCTTGTACCATACTCACATTTTAACGTTTTCTGTAAATGATCTCATATCTCATATGAAGTGATGGAAGTAGTCCATATAGTCCAAACCTGGCGCGTCAATATATTTATGTCTTATTTATTTAGGTCCGATACGAAATGGACAAAATTGGTCCATTCCATCGGAACCAAGTACATAGAGGGTCAACAATTTGAATAACTATAACCCACATAAAAATTAACAAGTGAAAAAAACTGTAAGTTCCACCGGGCCAAAGTTTGAATACCCTCCACCATTTGGTACAAATTTGCGAGTTTTCAAAAAAATAAAATCCGTTAAAAATTCTGTTAAAATCTTAAAAATACCGAATATAGCCGTATATTAGGGTCTATTCGACGACGTGGACCTGCATAGTCAACTTTTGTCATAAGCTATTACAATATTCAAATGCGAAACTTGAAAAAAACATATGTTTATAATGTAGCTAAAATCATCAAAATAATGAATGTAAAGAGGTACATGGGGGTTGTAAAACGTGGACCTGCACAGACAATTTTCTGCCATAGGCTATAGTATCCATTACGAACTTCAAATACTAACTTTGAAATAGTTCCAGTAAATAATGACGCTAAAATCATCAAAATACCGAATATCGGTAGGTACCGTTATATGGGGGCTATACGAAGTCGTGGACCTATAAAGACAATTTTCTGTCATTGTTTGTAGTATTCATTACGAACTTCAAATACTAAATTTGAAATAGTTCCGGAAAATAATGACGCTAAAATCATCAAAATACCGAATATCGGTAGGTACCGTTATATGGGGGCTTTACGAAGACGTGGACCTACATGGCCCATTTTCTGTCTTAAGCCGTAGTATCTATTACGAACTTTAAATACCAGTTTTGAAAAATTCCGCTAAATAATGTCGCTACGTTTATATCTTTGAAAGCCTTAAAAATTATTTTTTAATAATCTTTATAAAAATATTCTACTATATGTCTAAAAAATATATTCATAAAAATCCAATTTTATTTCTTCTTTTCATAATTGTGACATCCAATATTCGAAGAGAATCCCATGGTGTCCCAAGCCTGTCAAGTAGTGCCATTGTATTTCGAAAACAATATTCATGTCATGGCAATAGCACACAGATTTTTCCACTTGATCATTTGAAAAACAATCATTGATTAATTCAACAACACTAGCAACAGCAACAACAAAAAACGCCTTCACGCATCACAGACCCGTTGAAGTTTAATCTGAACGCACCAACTTCCCGATCTGAATTACAAATCAATCTAACTAGAATTAAACAACAACAACAACAGCAGCAACAACCCCCAGCATTGATCTCTCCTCATCAACATTACAACTTATCACTAATGACATGCACTAATCTCCCACTCTCCCCTCAGAGTTAAAGTAGCAAAGCATTTAAGCTTTGATCAAAAGCATAAATCCCAGAATGGAAGCTTCCGTACCAACGTAAATCCATAACACAGGCTGTTGGACTTTAAGAGCAAAAAAACGAGGCTAGACGCTTAATTTAGCCACTGTTAATAATGAACAACAACAACCACAACAACATCGTGGGCCACAACAACAAGTAGCCACATTTTGAGTCATTCACAAGTTCTGAAATCTCACAGTGTGCAGTAGACCAGCAACAAAGGCGGCTGAATAAAACGGGCTATTATTTCCTTCAAGTTGTCTATCTTTTGAAAGTCGACACAAAAGTAAAAAACAAAAACAAACTAAAACCAGTGCTAAACCAGGCTTAAACCTGTTTGCTTACAAAAATTTGGCAAAATAAAAACTAAAAACTTTTTTCGTGTAAACTTTTATTACGAAAGAAGTAAGGAAGATTAGCGGCCTCAAAATAAAAAACGAAGATAGAAAGCCACAGAGCGAGGTTTAGAACAAAAAAAGCAACAACAACCCCATCAAGCCGTGCGTCTGACGCCGTAACTTAAAACGTGTTTGGAATATTTAAATCGTATTTCACTTCCAGAATTTATTAATTTATTAAATTATAAAATATCACAACAATCGAGAACACGGCCGCGCAAAGTCAATCAGTCAGTTAGTGTCCCCGTCTCGAAAGAAGACAACGTGTCGTTCCAATCCCTCGCTTCAAATTCTATTTTCGAAAATTTCAATTTCCGCCGCGCCCGGTGCTGTAATCGAATCTTAATACGACAATCCATCAAATCAGAAAATGAAGAGTTTCATAATCTTCCTCATCGTCAGTGCTTGTCTGTTGCATGCCGCATTTGGTGCACCACAGGTAGGAATAAACGAATGAATAAACGAACGAATGTTTGTCGGAATGGCGAAATGACAACAATGTTTAATGCGATACGATAATATCTTTTACGAGTCAGACCATGCGTCAGTTTCATAAGAAATGCATTTAGAGTGTGTCAATCAATGTTAAGTAGCTGCTGGGGCAGCAGCTCAAGGGAGGAAGTATTACCGGGGGACCATGGGATGTCTTTAAATATAAGAGTGTGTGTGTGAGAGAAAATTTTCAAGAAAATTATAAAAAATGTGCAAAAATGGTCTTTTAAGGGTATTTTACATGACGAACACATCTTAAAGAGGTCCACTAAATATGGGAGCTTTTTAAGTGGTCTTATAAAGGACAAAGGCTTTGAGGTGTTCTTTAGAGTGATTCCACAAAAGTGGATTTTTAAACTTGGACATTAAAAAATAAACTCAAAGATTTCAAAAAACAAAAAAAAAAGTTTTTTTTTATATTTTCCAATTAACCTCTATTTCAAAAAATTTTTTTTAAGATTTAAAAAGCTAAGCATAGATATTTTTAAAAGACTAACAGCGCTACAAACGTGGATTTTTTAACTTGGATATTAAACAAATAATATCGAATATTTCAAAAAAAAAATTAAATTTTCCAATCAACGTCTATTTCAAAGTATTTCTTAATATTTTAGGAACTATAGAGCGAGTAAGCGTAGATTTTTTTCGAACTAATTTTTTTTAAAGACCAACAAAACTGCAATCGTGGATTTTTTGAAGAATATTTTGTCAAAGACTAACTGAGCTTATATTTAAAAAAAAATTCTCAGTTCTACATAACCTATTAGCTTGGATTTAAGAAAAAAAATATATATTTTATAAACTGAAGCAGCGATGCTAAAAAAATAGTTTTTTAAATTTGGATATTAAAAAAAACTCGATCATTTCAAAAAAAATGGTTTTCAATTAACGTCCATTTCAAAGATTTTGTTTTTAATTTTTAGAAACTATTGAAGGTGTAAGCTCAGATTCTTTTTTTTTTCAAAAATTGTTTTTAAATACTAACAGAGTTGCAAACGAGGATTATTGAAAATATTTGAAAATATTTATTAATTATTATTAATAAATATTTATTATTTTATTTTAGACAAGCTACTAACTTGGATTTAGTAAAAAAAAAAACAGATATTTTTAAAGCTGGACCAGCAATGTTACAAACCTAGATTTTTTAAACTTGGATAATAAAAAAAAAAAAATTCGAGTATTTTAAAAAAATGTTTTTTTATTTTCAATTAACGTCTTTTGTAGCATTGCTACTTTTAGAAAAACTATTTCAATGTTTTTCTAAAAGTTGTGGAAAGTAAGCTCAGATTTTTACCACTAACAGAGCTTCAAACGTCGATTTTTTGAAAATTATTTTACCAAAATCTAAATAAATTTTTGTAAAAAAATTTCCAGATCTAGACAAGCTATTTTAAAACTGAAGCAGCAATGCTACAAAAGTAGTGTAATTTGAAGACAATCGGACACCTACATCACATTTTTAAGAGTTATGTTTATTCAAAATGTTGACCCTTTGTGGGGGAGGTACTTGATGGAGTGGACCGACCTAGCACTGATGCAAATATTAGGATTCGCAGCAGAATAATCGGATTTTACCTTTCTCTTTCTGTGCAGTAAATTATTTTCCTTGAAAATTTTGACATTTTGTGTGGGAAGTACCAGAAGGAGTAGATGGAATTAGAATCAGAATTAGGGGCGGATCCAAACATTTTATTTTTAGACGTTTTCCAAGGTCGTTGATTTTTTTAAGATTTTTAAAAATCTGGATTTTTTGATTTTATTTTTTTTATTTTTTCCTTAATTTCATTTATTTAAATTTATTAACTTGTTTATTTATTTATATTATTTTTTTTAATGTTGATTTGTCATAAAAACTGATTTCCTAGATTTTTTCAAAGATATGAATTTTTATGGGATTTTCTTTAAAATATGATTTAAGTAAGTGAATTTATATTTACTTTTTAGGGAACATTACACGAATATAGATTCGTTTTTTATAGACTTACAATTTTCTATATATTTTTGGGGGGATTTTTCGGCACGTAAATCTTTATAAATTTTCTTAGAGATTTTCATCTTCTTTCAAATACATGGATTTTTTTTTCTTCAAGGACTTTTATTTGAAAAAAAATTTTAATAATTTTTTGCAAATCCATGTTCAAGAATATTAAAATCTATCCAAGTAATCCTAGTCCTTGAAGAAGCAGTTCTACGAAAATCCATGTATTTGAAACAAAATGTAAGAAAATATCTAAAAAAGGTTTTATAAAGATATACGATCCGAAAAATCCGCCAAAAAATACGTCCTTGTAATGCATTTTTTAGGAAAATTTAGATTTTGGATTTTTTTTGAGATTTTTTCTAAAGGATATTATTTCAAGGACTATAAAAGAAAGAATCAAAATTTTTTTTTCAAGAAGTTAATTTTTCCTACCATAATATATGCAAAAATCGGAAATTTTTCGTACCAAGTTCTTTATTATCTGAACTGCTGCCGACTCGGAGACGGATTTGTTTAAAGTTTTGAGTATTGTGTCCTTTTATAATCAATTTGAATTTCTATACAACTTTTATTTCCCAAAAAATTAAATAACAAAGTACTAATACTAGCAGAGTGTGAGGGCGCGGAGATTTAATATAACTAATGAAAATAATGTAACCAAAAATAAGTTCTATTTAAAATTGTGGGTAATTAAATACTCTTCCAGTTATTTGATATTTAAATACATTATAAACCCCAAAAATCAATTAGTGAAACTAAACACCTACCAAAAATACCCGCAACTTATCCTTCAATATCCCTTCAATTTTGGCCATATCCTCAAATCCCATTTTCTCTCCATTTCCACACTAGCATTTCATAATTAATGCAAAACCAAAATCAAGCAAAATATTAACCGAAAAACTAATTAACTAATTAATAATAGTTACAATAGCAACAGTAACAACGACTATTACAATATCGAAGGCTTCGAAGTTCGCTTTTGCCATTGGCAGTAAACTAAGACTGGCGCAAATGTTATGGCAACATGCATCACCCCCTACCGGAACTTGGATTCCATGGCGGCCACTGCGTAATACTGAAATTGGCATTTATTAATGGAAAATCATTGTGGCATAGTACCATTAATAAATCCACAAATTGCATTGTCTGTTGGTGCGAGTCTGAATGTGTGTGTGTTTCGGTGTATTTGAGGAAAATGTGGCTAATTAATAACCAAAATCGTGGCTTAATATGTTGCTTGTTATTTAGATTAAAAAGTATCAGTTGGTTTTGGCGACAGATGTATACCCTCAGTCAACGTTCGATTATTTGAATATATTTTGGCTTTTGTTATGATTACTCAAATTGTTGACCCTCTATGGAGTTGGTTCCTAAGGAATGGGCCAATATTGTCCATTTCGTATCGGACCTAAATAAATATGATATAAATATTGCGATAGACCAGGTTTGGACTATAACTTCACTTTATATGAGAAATCTGATCATTATTACTCAAGTGTGTATTTGGTCTGCTGGACTTTGGATATGGATAATGGACTATATAGGTCCACGTTTAGGTATAGCCCCCATATAACTGTATATCTCAATATTTGGTATTCCGACCTTATTCACAGGAATTGTTTCATATTTCGTGTTCGAATTTCCTAATAGGTACTACAGTGTATGACAGAAAATTTTCTATGAAGGACCAGCTCCTCGTATATAGATTTTAGCGACTTCATTCATGAGAATTGTTTCAAATTACGTATCGTAGAACTACAGCCTGTGACAAAAAATTGTCTAAGCAGGTATAGTCCCTAAATATCTATACCTCCCTATATTCGGTATTTTAATCATTTTACCTACATTATTCACCGGAATTGTTAAAATTTCGTATTTGCAATTCGTATTGGGTACTACAGCCTGTGACAGAAAACTGCATGTCCACGTCTTCCTACAGACCCCAGAATAACGATAACTCCTTATATACTGTATTTTTAAGATTTTAACAGAATTTATCACAAATTCTATTTTTATTTGTTTATTTGTTTATTATATTTATTTATTTATTAGTGTTATTATTATTATTATTATTATTATTATTATTATATTATTATTATTATTATTATTATTATTATTATTATTATTATTATTATTATTATTATTATATTATTTATTATTATAATATTATTATTATTATATTATTATTATTATTATTATTATTATTATTATTATTATTATTATTATGATTATTATTATTATTATTATTATTATTATTAGTATTATTATTATTATTATTATTTATTTATTATTAATTAGTACTATTATTATTATTATTATTATTATTATTATTATTATTATTATTATTATTATTATTATTATTATTATTATTATTATATTATTATTATTATTATTATTATTATTTATTATATGATTATTATTATATTATGATTATTATTATTATTATTATTATATTATTATTATTTATTATTATTATTATTATTATTATATTATTATTATTTATTATTATTATTATTATTATTATTAATATTATTATTTATTATATATTATTATATTATATTATTATTAATTATTTATTATATTATTATTATATTATTTTTATTATTATTATTATTAGTATTATTATTATTTTTATATTATTTATTATTATTATTATTATTATTATTATTATTATTATTATTATTATTATTATTATTATATTATTATTATTATTATATTATTATTATTATTATTATTATTATTAGTATTAATTATTAGTATTATATTATTAGTATTATTATTTATTATTATTATTATTATTATATTATTATTATTATTTATTATTATTATTATTATTATTATTCTTATTATTATTATTATATTATTATTATTATTATTATTATGATTATTATTATTATTATTATTATATTATTATTATTATTATTATTATTATTATTATTTATTATAATTATTATTATTAT